TTTTGTTTAGGGCATTAATCCGAAATAAACCCTGTGGAGGGATTATACTCCGAAGCTACTTCCAGTTTTATTGTATTGAGAATTGGCTTTTTGTTCAATCCATTTGAGGGATGCGAGAACTTTGATTGTTATAACTCGTTTGATGTTAGCTTCGCGTCTTTAGCATCCCAAATTGGATTTAGCCACGACTGTTGTTTAGGGTTTTTGTTTTTTTTTTTGAATTTAGGGATTTGAGCTTGTTGGTGTGAGGGAAAGCTCCGGACTTTTTTTTGGTCAGAGATGAGTACTTCAGGTTTAACTTGTACTCCGCCCAGATTTCACTTTCGTTGGCGTTCAGATCGTTTTGGTACATCTCAGAGAAGTTCTCAACCTCTTACTGTTCTTTGCAAACTGAATCGTGGAAATGCCGCTTGGCCTGTTCTTCAGAGGTAGTTTTTTTGTGCTTGTTTGGTTAAGCATATGCTAAGTTCTTTCTTCTCATGGTTATCTGTAATGGTTTTTCTCTTCGGTGTGCGCAGGACTCGTTTTACACTTCCTACACAACGAAACAATGCTATGGTCGTCCGTGCCATGAGTGCTTCCTTTGGTGATATGGCAGATGACCCAACTGGTAAATACATAATTTTGAGCTGTGCTTAATTCTAGGTTATGCTTTCTAGTAACAAGCACGGACTGATTAGGCGTAATCTTTGGGTTTTACTTGTAAATGGTGCTTCTGTGCTCCTTCGAGGTGATAGTTATGATGCTTTTGAGTTGAAGTTGTCATCAGTAAACGAAGCAGGCAATGCAATGCATAATTCTTAGTTAAACTGGAAAACGATGACTCAAGCGAAATGACTTATGTTTCCCTGTTACTTTCGTAGGCTCAGCTGTTTTCCCTAGGATCAATGTCAAAGACCCATACAAACGTCTTGGGATAAGCAAGATGGCTTCAGAGGATGAGATTCAAGGCGCGAGGAACTTTCTCATTCAGCAGTACGCGGGTCACAAACCCAGTGTTGATGCAATCGAATCAGCTCATGACAAGATTATCATGCAGAAGTTCCATGAGAGGAAAAACCCGAAGATCGACATAAAGAAAAAGGTCCGCCAAGTGAGGCAGTCCAAAGTTGTCAACTTTGTTTTCGAGAGATTCCAAACTCCTCCCTCTGCATTCCTTGTCAAAACGGCAGTCACCTTTGCAGTTCTCGGTGTTCTTACGGTTCTGTTCCCAACGGAAGAAGGACCAACTCTTCAGGTTTTGTTATCAGTAATAGCTACGTTTTACTTCATCAACCAAAGGCTGAAGAAGAAGCTCTGGTCTTTCCTTTACGGGTAATAAGCATGCTGATTCATAATCGCAAAACATTGCTTCCTTCTTGATTTGAATTTGCACCTGATCAGGCTGATATTTTGAAACAGGACGGGAGCTTTCATCTTCTCGTGGCTGCTTGGGACCTTCTTGATGGTATCCGTGATCCCACCGTTCATCAAAGGACCAAGAGGTTTCGAAGTCATGTCTTCGCTCTTAAGCTACGTTTTGCTTTGGGTGGCTTCGAGCTACCTTAGGTAGCATTCGTCTAGCTCTTTTCTTGCCTTTTTTTTGGGTCGCAATTTCTCAAAGTGTTTGTTATCTCGGATATATGAAAAACAGAAAAATATGAAATGCATCATCTTCATGTGGCATAGAGAGAAAGAGACGGGTTTTTTGGTTCTTGGAGTTGTTATATCGCTTAGACCTCAATATCTTTCACCGTATAGTTGAACTCTAGCATAAGTTTTTTTGCTAAATGGTAAATATTTCATTCAAAATGAAAACAGTTTAGGTTTACAGTTGTTAGTTAGGGAAATGATTTCATGGCAAAAAAGATAAAAACCTTATAATGCATTAAGGTTTTCGGTCTGCCGTTCAACATTGATCCGGAGGTTAACGAAGCAAAGACAAAGTGATGACAATGTTGAATGCTCCTCCAAGATCAGTTGGCGCATGGCAGTTTGAAGGCCAAGCACGCAAACCGCAATGAGCAAAACCTGAGCAATAGAAGCCGTTCAAAGACACCCTAACAAGGAGATGTCAACGGAAAGACTTCAACGACCTCGATCACTAACTCCTCTCGCGTCTAGTGAGAGCGACTAGAAGCACAAGTCCATGAGCTAGCTCTAAGAAGAAATCTCACACCAAGAAGCAAACGGCGCAAGCTTCCTCTACCAACAACATTGGCTAGTACAAAGCTAGGTATAAAATAAAAAAATGGCGCCGAGTAGCGATGATCTTACTAGCTCCTCTGAAGCACAAATCAAGGCATACGATCTTCAACGCTTAACCAACAACCAACCTAAATCAGAACAACCTCAATAGAAAGACACAACCAACAACAGGTCTTGCCCAACCAATCACAATAGAAGTACAGTGATGCAGTCCAAAGAAACAACTACATAGCTACCACCGGAAGCTTAGCTAAATCTAATACTACACTGCAACACATAGTGCCTCATTGGTGGACATTGCAACACCACAAATCTCAACATATAGGTCTTTACTAAAAGAGTAAATAGACTTCTGCATAGTCCGAATCAATGTACTTTTTCAACACCCGGCAAACTCAAAACCAATTCAATACGAATCAAACCGGATTGAATAACCGAGTTGAATTGGCTTTCATATAACTCTCGTCTCATAATAATAGTTAGGGCCCTCCATGGTGTTTGTCCATAGCCTCATTTTGCTGTGCAATGTGTCATGGCCCTCTTATTTATTTTCCGTGTGTTAATATTTGTGTATATTTTCCCAAAACCTCATATATAATTTCTCGGGTTGTGAATTGTGATGCCCATAGCGAGATCTATTTACCAATGTTGAACCGAAAATGACGACTTACCAATGATGTACTAACGATAGTAACAATCTACCATCAACGATAATAATAACAATAGTAGCGACCTACATTACAATCAATGACGCTTTATTATATGACTAACATGTTACTATAAATGTCGATGATACAGTAGTCTTATTTAATATAAGAGTGACTGACCGAGACTAATCGAATAGAATTAGAATAACGAAACACCACTAATTTGTTAAAACTAACTTTTTCAACATTCTCTGATTTTTCAAAGAATTATTTTTACCCAATTCATTTCAACAAGCTATTTGATTATTTGACTATTCTCCTATTTTACTACTATTCAGTTCATACTAATCAACCTCGATATTTGCATTGGACCACTTTTTAAGTACTTGAGACTTGAGATGTTAGTAAGAAAAACACAAATGCACATGCCTTCATGTGCAATGT